AATGGTATCCATCTCATTACACCATCTTTCCTGCCCTCATGCACCCTATCCACCCACCCTCCTCTTTGCCCAAAGTTCCTCCATTTTTCCCATATTTCCCCCCTCTTCATTTTGGATCAGCATCCACTTATCAGAGAAAACGTTCGATCTTTGGATTTTGGGCATTGGCTTACTTCAACTAGCATGAGATTCTTCAACTCCACCCATTTACCTGCATATGCCATGATTCTATTCTCTTTTAATGCTGAGTAATATTCCATTTGGTATATATGCTACACTTTCTTTATCCATTCATATGTTGAAGGGCATCTAGGTTGCTTCCACAGTTTAGCTACTGTGAATTGAGCTGCTATGAATATTGATGTGGATGTGTTACTGTAGTATGCTGATTTTAAGTCTTTGGGGTATAGACTGAGGAGTGAGATCGCCGGGTCAAATGTTGGCTCCATTCCAAGTTTTCTAAGGAATCTCCATACTGCTTTACAGATTGGTTGGACTAATTTGCAGTCCCACCAGCAACGTATGAGTGTGCCTTTCCCCCCATATCCTCACCAACATTTACTGTTGTCTGTATTTTTGATAACTGCCATTCTGGCATGAGATGAAATGTTAGAGTAGTTTTGATTTGCATTTCTTTAATTACTGGAGATGTTGAATTTTTTCATATATTTGTTGATTGAATGTATATCTTCTTATGAGAAGTGTCTGTTTAGAACCTCCCCACATTTTTTTATTATACTATTCCAGAAGTGAACTTAAATCCCAGCTCCACCTGTGCTAGTATGTGACATAAGCTTTATAAGCCTTAATTTCTTCATCTATAAAATGCAAAATCAGTGCTAAATGGGGTGGTTACTGTAAGGATTAATATAAAACATTTAACACTAGATGCTTTAATTATCAAGAAGAAAAATTATTCATATACTGACTGAAAGATGTATACAATTAATAGGTATATAGTCATGTAAAAAATAGTGAGCTCAGAACACTAGGACTCACCAGCAGTGCTCTGTCATTTTTAGGGTTTCATGAGCAATAACTTTGGGGAACTTTTCTTTAAATTATTATTCTAATTTGTTATACATGATGGCAGAATGCAATTAATTTCATATTACACATATAGAGCACAATTTTTCAAGTCACTGATTGTACACCAGGTATTTTCACACCATTCGTGTCTTCATTCATCTACTTAGGGTAATGATGTCTAACTCATTCCACCATCATTCCTACCCCTTGCCTCCTCCCTCCCCTTTGCCCTAAGTATATGTCTTTTGATTGATGAGTTTACTCAATCAATGGTCAAGGTTATTATTGAGATATGATTTGTGTTCCTGGTCATTGTGGCTTATTTTTAGTTTTTAATTTGAATTAGTTTCTCCTTTGATTGACTATTCCTTTAGTGTAATTCCTCCCTTTGCTGGTTTTCACTTTTTTTCCCCACTTCATCTTCATGGAATATTTTTTTTTTTGAGAATATTCTAAGTGCAGTCTTCTGGCTTCGAATCCTTTAAATTCTTGATTATCACAGAAAATTTTTATTTCATTTTCAAATATAAAGCTTAATTTTTTGAATATAGGATTCTTGGTTGGCATTCATTTTCTTTCAGAGCTTGGTATATTATTCTAGGACCTCTTAGTTTTGAGGGTCTGAGTTGAGAAATCAGCTGTGATCTGTATTGGTTTCCTCCTATAAGTAATCTGACATTTTTCTCTTGTAGCCTTTAAAATTCTATCCTTATTCTGTATGCCAGTCATTTTCATTATTATGTGCTTTGATGTGGGTCTGTTGTAATTATGCACATTTGGGGTCCTGTAAGCCTCTTGCATTTGATTTTCCATTTCATTCTGTAGAATTGGCAAATTTTCTGATATTATTTCATTATGCATCCCATGTGTATCTCCATGCCTTCATCTACCTCAATAAATCTTAAATTTGGTCTTCTCATGTTATCCCATAATTCTTGGAAATTCTATTAATGGTTTCTTAACATCTTCTCTCCATAGTCAACTCTTGTTTTCAAGATTATATATTTTGTCTTCATTGCCCGAGGTTTTGTCTTCTAAGTGGTCTAGTCTCCTGGTGATGCTTTCTATTAATTTTTTAGTCTGTCTTTTTTTGTTGTTGTTGTTGTTTCCTTCATTTCAAGAATTTGGTTTTTTTCTCCTCAGACTCTGTACTTCTTTATTGATCTTATTCTAGCTGTATTTGCTGTTTTACATCATCCTTTGTTACAGAGATCAGTTTAACCATGTACATTCGAAACTCCTTATCTGACATTTCTCCACTGTGGTGTCAATGGAATCTGTTATTGGAGTATCTTGGTTTGTTTGGGGTGATTTGTTCCTTTGCCTTTTCATGTTGTTTTGTGTGTCTACCCATCGAACAGTATGGATCTGAGGCAGTAGAATTTATACCCTGTGGACTTACAGTGTTCCTGAAGGTTTCCAGTACCTCACTTTTGGAGAAGCTGCCTTTCTGCTTTTTTGGTTTCACATCACGGAGCAGCCAGGAACATGACCGCCTCTATTCTGCCATCTTGGATCTCCTTTTTTTTAGTTTCTTATAGGGCAGTTGTAGTGGTACTAAATGCCCCAGCTTTTGTCTGGGAATATCTTAATTTCTCCCTCATCTTTGAAGGACAGTTCAAAGATATAAAATTCTCAGTTGACAGTTTTTCCCCCTTTAAACAGCATTTTAAGCATACTATCCTGATGCTTTTGGCCAGCAAGCCTTTTGCTGATAAAAATCCATGACAGTTTTATTGAGGCCTCATGAATGATGAGTTACTTTTCTCTTGCTACTTTCATGATCTTTGCTTCTATCCTTTCTCAGGTCTTATGTCTATTGGCGTGAGTCTCTGGGTTATTCACAGAGTTTCCTTAGGTTTTGGGTTTGTATATTCATGCCTTTCTTCAAATTTGGTTAAGTTTTCAATCATTATTTTGTCATCAAATAGTTTCTCTGCTCCTTTCTCTCCTTATTCAGGGACCCCCATTAAGCATTTATTGGTTGTTTAATAGTGTCCCACAAGTCCCTTAGCTCTGTTCTCTTTTTCCTTTCTTCCTTCCTTTCGAATTTCAAATGACCTGTCTTCAACTTAGTTAGTTCTTTCTTCTGCTTGAGTTTGCTTTTATAAACTATAATGAATCCCTGTGGTATCAGTTGTTATGTTTTCAGGCCAAGAATTTCAATTTTTTTTTTTTTTTACAATTTCTGTCTTTTTTGTCCATGTATTGATTTCCTGGTTTTCTTAATTCTCTGCATTTTCCTTTAATCTATGAGCATAGTTAAGACAGTTGTTTGATCAGTCTTTTAAAAGTCTAGTATGCCTGATACTTGTTTAAGATAATATCTATATAATTATTTTATTTATTTTTCCTACTTCTTCTTTTTTTTATTTTTAAAGAATTTTTAATATTTATTATTTAGTTTTTGGCGGACACAACATCTTTGTTTGTATGTGGTGCTGAGGATCGAACCCAGGCCGCACGCATGCCAGGCAAGCGCGCTACCACTTGAGCCACATCCCCAGCCCCTTTCCTACTTCTTTATAATCCTTATGACATTTTATTAAAAACTGGGCACTTGAAAAAATATCCCCTCTTCCAGTCTTTGTAGACTGCAAGACCTTCATGGGACCATGAGCCCTTAAGATTAGTCCAGGACTTCCCAGGTCTTTTGTGGGCATGTTTCCTCTTTCTGGGTGTTTGTTTTAGCAACTTGGTTTGCTTTGGACAAATGGTCTTGATTTCCTCTGGGTGGTCATTCAAATCCCAGTTTGGTTCTCAAAGCTTTTGCTTTGTTGATTTGCGTGTCTCATTCCTCAACGTAAGATTTGGACTGGTTCATTCAGAGAACTGGGGGAAGTTCCTTCTCTTTGCTCCATGACTCTCTTCTTTCACTCTTGAGCTCCCAAGGAGTTCTTTTCTTGGCCAGAAAGTTGTTTTTGTTTCCCTCAATTTCTGCTTAGTTGGCCATACCATGGTTACCACAGTTCCACTTCACAATGAGGTTCTGCCTTGGATGTAGCATTCTCATGCTCAGGAGAAAACTCAGCCAACTATTTACTTCCTACAATCTGGGAAGATCATCTCTATGCAGTGGCTTTTCTGTATTTTGATGCTTTTCACAATCCACCTACTTTTGCTTAATTTCAGTATCCCTAAGTAGTTACTTTCCGTATTTTTCCCAGGTTTAGTTGTAATTAGCGGGCAGATAATAGTTAACACATACTGTCATAGTGGTATTGGAACTCTGCCTGGGTTTTTAATTTTTTCACTGGTATATGAAAACATAAAATTGTACATATTAATGGGATAATGTCATGTTTCATCACAATGAATATATTGTATAATGTTTACATAGGCTTAAACATATTTTATCTTTTTTCTGGGTTTTTGTCTGCATATTTGGTATTTACTGGGAGTTTACCTCAGAAAGTATGTTAGTTAGCTTTTCATCATTGTGACAGGGTACCTGAGAAAATCAACACAGAGAAGGAAAGATTTATTTGGGTCACTGTTTCAGAGGTTTCAGTCTAAGGTTGACTGGTTCCACTGCTTCTGGGCTTGAAGCAAGGCATAAAGAATATCAAGGTGACGGGAGCATGTGGCAGAGGAGGTTGCTCATCTCATGGCACTCAGGAAGCAAAGAGACAGGAATGAGCTGAGGACAATACCTGCCTTTCTAGGCATGCCCCAAGTGACTTGCTTCCTTCAACCAAGCTCCACCTTGTGGAGTTTCCATCGCCTCCCAATAATGCCATCAAACTACCCATCAATGGATAATCCACTGTGAGGTCAGAGCCCTCATGAGCTAATCACATTCCCAATTTTAAGATAACCCCATCTCTAAAAACTGCTATGTTGGGGACTAAGCCTTCAACACATCAGTCTCTGGGGGGCTTTCCAGATCCAGCCATCTCTTCAATCTCTAGGTCTTAAGATGGCCAATTATAAAAGCAACAGTGCTTACCTCATGTTAGATTTCTGGCATCTTTTTTTTTTTTTTTTTTTGGTAGGGGGTGATTAAATATAATGATGAGCATTAAGCACTAGTAAGTACCCAAGACAGACATAAATGGTTATTTCTAGTCATATATTTTCTATAGGACTGGACATTTTAAATACAATTAGTGGAACAAAAAAGAAAAATTAGAAATAAAAAGTTACAGGTTTGGTGGGTTATTTACCTGGAAGCTGATTCTGGAAGGAAAGGTCAAAAAGGAAAAAAAAAAAAGTATTTAAAAAAGCAAAATATTCCATGCCAATTTTGTAGCCCTTGGAACTGCATCTCCAGTCCTTGTCAGGTCTCTCTTATAAAATACCACATTGAACAAGAATGAGGGCTCCATACCAATAAGGAGCACTGCTCTCCAATGAAACAACCCATTTCCCCTCCATGCCTATTTTTTAAATTGGGGGGAAAAAAAGAAACTAAGATTCTTATTTGTTTTCTAGTAACTTGCTCCTTGCATTTGCTCCCTTGCTAGATGGCTGAAAAAGGACATGCAACCCACCGAGGATCTCAAGTCAGTAATTCAAAGGATGTCAATGTTCGGCCCGATTCAGTCAGTCACCACGTGTGGACGTCAAAGTGCTGTAGTGGTGTTCAAGAATGTAACTTCAGCGTGTAAAGCCGTGAACGCTTTCCAAAGCAGGATCCCAGGCACAATGTTCCACTGTTCCTGGCAGCATCGATTCATGTCAAAAGATGTAAGACTTTCTAGTTCCAATAACCTACGTGAATTCTTAAAGCTTGTTTCATAAGTTTTTATTCATTAGGGCTGTAAGTAAAATATTCTCATCATAACTGACATACAGCACTGGAAAAAGGCCCAGTGAAGTTTATTTAGTTAAAATCAGCACTAACTGCATATCCTTCCTTTGATGGTCTTAACTCTTCTCTAAGACGTTGTCACAGTTTTGATTTTCTGGACATAAAGTTCATGAGAGCATTCATGCATTCCTCTGACAGCCACCTTCCCTGGAGGACAGTGCATTCTTCAGCATTAACGGCATGTAGCTTTTCTTTCTCATTACTTCTGATCAACTCCTTTGAAATCCTCAAGGACTGATAAAACAAAACCAACAGGAAGGTTAAGAGTTCTTCTAACAGCAGTGGGATATTGAGTAATTCTGGTTCTTATTTCTCCCATGTTCACTTAACTAATCCTGTAAGACACATGTGTAATAATAAGATAGTGCTTCTCAACCTTTTATGTGCATATGAATCACCTTTGTAATTCTGGGGCAGGTCTATGATTATGTTTTCAAAAAGTTCCAGATGAATGCTAAAACTTCTGATTCCAGGATCACATTTTGAATAGCAAGAATAAAAGAGCAGTCAGTCATTAACTACCCCATATAAAAAAAAAGTAACAATCTCCTTATTGTGAAAACTCTCTGGTTTTTCATCTGAATTCTAAAGTAAAAAAACTCAGAAACTACTGCTTATAATCTAAAGTTATCTCCACAAAGAATTGCCCCTTGGCCCTGTACCATAGGAACGAAATATCTATTTCATAAGTTTTATAAAAATCAGTATTTCCAACATCATTAGTTATTTTTTTAAAGATTTTTTTTTGTAGTTGTAGATGGACATCATGCCTTTATTTTATTTGTTTATTTTTATGTGGTGGCAAGGATGGAAACCAGTGCCTCATGCATGCTAGGCAAGACCTCTGCCACTGAGCTACAGCTCCAGCACTAACAGTAATCATTTTTAACCTCAAATTTAGATGTGCTTAAAATCAACTAAAGATAATGTCTTTTCTTTATGACTTATTCCCTTAAGGTTTACACATTTTTCCCCTGGGGAAATTATTTTCAAGGTTTCTATAAGTAAAAGGTGAAGACTTACATTTGTGGGGAGCTTTGCATATGTTTTCAGCCTGGTCCAAACTTCTTTCTGGAAAGTGCTTTCAGGAAAAACTTCTGTAACGAGGCCTTGAGCACATGCCTCTCCTGCTGTTAACTTCTTCCCAAAAATAAGCATCTCAGCTGCCTGAAATAAAAAGCAAAGTTAAGATACTACGTTAATAATTTTGTTAATAAAAACAAAATTTAAGTTAACTGCAGAACTGACTGCTTTCAGAAGGCAAAGATTTGTTCATGGTCTTTTAAAGTTGCTTATATTCTCAATGAGGGAGAAGCTAATGACCTCAATGGGGCAACAGTTTGCAAACTGTGTGTGGAGACCACTGCAGGCTTCCATCTCTGCAAGGGCTAGACGGGCAACCATTTCTGTCCACCCAGGTTTGAAGAGGTAAGAAAGGACCTGAACCACGGCAGCTGAGCTAATGCTTTATAAACTATAATGATTACAAAAAAGGGTTAAATAACAAGAACTCACAGTTATTGGGTCAAATGCTAGACAGTTTCAAAATTCCATTACCTCGTGGTTTAGCTCTGATAAACCTGGTTTAGCTTTGACAGTTTTCTTTACCTATGTAGGCACTCAAATTATTCTACTTGACTTAAAGAAAGTAAAGATGACTCAAATTACATTTCTTAAAAAAATAAATAAATAAATAAAAAGCCCATGAGATGATTAAGTGGATGTCCTTTCTCTGTTTCCAATTTGTCTTCCAGAAAAGCAAACACTATTCCAAGTGCTCTAAGCCTTCAAGTTGGAACTGTTGTTCCACTTTCCAAACCTGTATAATGATTTGGGGTATATGGCAGCAAAATGAGATTAAGAGAAGAAATATTTTCATCAAAAACCTAGCAGCCAATGAACAGGCACAATCTTACCCCCGGCCTCTGAGATCAGGAAGCATGTTGGCTAAGCCTTTCCCTATGCCACGCTCTCCAGCTGTGTCACAATCCCTGGAGTCATGTACCAAGCATGGGTAACTAGGTTTCCATAACCACAGGGAAAGACCTGAGCAGCCACTTGGGAGTGGCTTGGGAGTCTCTTAATATCTTTCAAAACAGGCTGACAGAAAGGCTGTTGCTATTGGGAGTGGCTCTGGAAACCTCCACGAGGCCCCACATTTCCTAGTATTTCATATGACTCTGAAAGTGAAGATGCTGGTGAACCATGTTCAGTGGATGTGGCTCATGCATTTAGTAAATAAGTGGCCCTCAGCTGAGCAGACCTAGGGGGCTGGGCACAGTCCTTGTCCTCCCACTATGCCACAGCTGTGGAGAACCAGATCTTGTGCTGCTTGCAATGAGATAGCATCAGGCAACTGGCTGAAAGGAGTGACCCAGTTTGGGAAGTTGCAGAAAATTTCCAATTTTCTTTAAGACCAGATACTTCCTAAAGCTTGGTTCCTCCACTTGTAAAACCCTTAGAGTTGGAGGTCAAATAGTTTCTATCTCTTTGTATGTATCAGTAAGGAAAAGAAGAGAGAGTATGGGGTTATATTTGGAAGAGGAATGAAACATTAAACATTACTTTTAAGCTTCCCAGAAGTTACCTTGGCGGGGCCCATTATCTTCGGAAAAGTGTAAGAGGCACATCCCTCTGGGCTTTGGCCAAGTTCACTAAATGGAGTATGAAATGTTGCCTATTTGGGGGGGGGGGAAGAAAAGAAAACCATTTTTAAAAAATCACCACTTAATCATAATTTCAAAATGCTTAACAAAAAAAATGTAGATTAGGATTATGCAGTGTGAAATCCACTCTTTTCAAGTCTTTATTCAATGACACAGTATATTTTTATCATGGCCTTTGGTGGTTAATCCCTTCCTTCTTGCCATCCCTGTGCAATCACTAATTGGCTTTCTGTCCCTGTAGTCTGGCTTTTCTAGCATGCTATATAAATGGAATCCTATGGCATATTAGCCTGCTTCTTATTACTGTTGAATAGAAATCCACTGTACGGATAATTTGTATAATTTGCTTACCCATTTGCCATTGGAAATGCCACTGGTATTGTTTCCAGTACTTTGTGCACAAAACTGTTCAGAAAAATATCAAGTTGTTTTGATATACACAATTTCTATTTGTCAATTACTCCTCAATGAAGCTGAAGAAAAATTAAATATTTTTCAGATAATTCTAACAAAATAAGGTTGTTGTGAAAAGGTAGCTATGGGTAAACATGTTTTCAGTACTTGTTGGTGAATACCCACCAGTGTAATTGCTGGGTTGTGTGGAAAGTTACGCTGAACTTAAGAGAATAGCAGAGTCTGGACACTACTACCAGCCCCATTTGCTCCACCTCCTCACTATACTTTATTATCAAAAGTCCTTTTAATTTTAACCATATTTATGGGTGTGGAGCAGTCTCACCCTGTCCTAATTTACATGTCGCTAATGATCAATGATGTTGAGCATCTTTTCATGTACTTATTAGTCATGTTCACATCTTTGGTGAAGAACTGCTTACGTATCTTTCTTGATGTTTTTAAAGTTAGACTCTTAACCTTTTTATTGATTTGTAAGTTGTCTTTTATATTCAGGTTATGAGTCTTACTGTAAATCTCATGCAAATAATAATATTCTGGTGTGGATTATCTCTCCATTTTCTTTTTTTTTAATTTATTTTTTAGTTGTAGTTGGACACAACACAATACCTTTATTTTAATATGGTGCTGAGGCTTGAACCCAAGGCCTCACGCGTGCTAGGTGAGCACTCTACCACTGAGCCACAACCACAGCCCTCTCTCTCCATTTTCATAATGGGTGTTTCTCATATAGTTTCAAAAGTCATTTACTTTCTTTTCTGTGAAGGATTTATTCCTCTCTACTGGCCATTTTTATATTAGGTTGGTAATCTATATAGATATATCTTAAAATATTAAGAGAGATTAGCCTGTTATGTGGGTTGAAAAATTGTTTCAATTTTCTCAATCTTTCATTTGTCTTGGTGACTTAAGAGTTTTTAATTCAACCCCCACCCCTGACTGGTGTTAGATACTAAATCAATCTTGATATTGCTTATTTGGAATATAATCATTTTTAATATTTTTCTAGATTTACTATTTTAAAATATTAAGTATTTTTCTATGTTCTTGATGACCAATAAATCTTTATGAAGGAGAATTAATTTATAACTGATAAGATATAAAAGAATATTTAGATTTTACTTCCTACAGTCAAACATGGTCTTTTTTAATGCATATTTCTCAGAAGATATAAATGTATAATGTATGCAACATATAAAGAAAAATATAAAAGAACATATCATTCATATCATTCATTAATATCATTCATCTTTTTCTCCCCTCATAAAGAAATATTATTCCAAGAATAAGTGAGGCTGGGTACAGTGGTACAGGCCTATAATCCTAGTGATTTGGGAGGCTGAGGCAGGAGGATCACCAGTCCAAGGCCAGCCTAAGCAACTTAGAGAGGCCCCAAGCAACTCAGCAAACCCTGTCTCTAAATAAAATGTTAAAAAAGGCTGGGGATGTGGCTCAGTGGTTAAGTGCCCCTGGGTTCAATCTCTGGTACAAAAAAGAAAAAACGGTGAGATGACACAGCCTAAAAATATCACCTGAAAACCGAATGAAAATACCAACCAGACCTAAGGGGCCTCAGACACATACAAACACACTGATGATCAGCAGCAATTCGAATGTTTATTTGATAAAGCAGCAGACGCAGTTAGGGTGTAAACTCTGGCATCAGACTGCTTGGTGCCTTTGGGATAGTCCCTTCCCCTTTCTGTGCCAGTTTCCCATCTGTAAAATGGGTATGAAAGTAACTATCTCACCGGGCTGTTGGTGGAATATGTGAACGTGTGCGTGTGTGATGTGCACTAACAGAGTGCCTAGTACACAGTGAGCACTCAGATCCTTACTACTATGACATAACTTCTCCCTGTGCATTAACTCATTTGCTAACAGAAAAGCTACCAAGCATTATTCACCACAGCTCATAAGGAAAAATGGCTAGAGTGAACTAATCACTGTTTGACTATGTGGGTTAAATATGGGCCCATGATTTAATGTGGTATTTATTCATGAAGCCAATGATGATAAATCCTAAGGAATTCCTTCAGTAGTGAAAAATCAGATGTCTTTCACAAGGTGGCAGATGAGAAAATTTTACCAGCACATAAACAAAGTCATTTGAAGAATCTGACAACTCTAGAGTCATTATTAGTTCTACAGTAAATATCCTAGGGTCGAAGTTCTGAGATAAATGTTATTGTGTCTTTCTTACAATGATGAAGTCTAGAAACGGACTGTGGTTCCAGCAGTCAGGGACTGGTTACATTAGAGTAGTTATATAAACCAAACACTAGCACTGTTTTGCTCTGAGAGGTAAAATTAAAGACTACTTAAAAAAAGACTGTGTCTATGCAAGGTGCATATGACATGCTATAATAAAATACATATGTAGTGAAATAGTTGCTATTGTGAGCAAATTAACAATCTATCACCCTCACCTTTATCCCACCCCAACACATACATAACAGCACGTATAATTTACTCATTTAGCAAAGATCTTGATTACAATATTCTATTATTAACTATGGTCCTCACATACACGGGGTCTTTTGATCCTACATATTTCCTACTCTGTATCCTTTGACCTATACTTTCCCATTTTCTGTCCCTGTGGAATTTTGAAAAATTTAGAAAAGTACACACACACACACACACACACTCACACTCTCTCTCTCTCTTTTTTTTTTGTACCAGGGATTGAACCCAGGGGTGCTTAACCATCGAGCCATATTCCCAGTCCATTTTTATATTTTATTTTGAGCCAGGGTCTCACTACGTTGTTTAGAGCCTTGCCAAGCTGTTGAGGCTGACTTCAAACTTTGATCCTGCTGCCTCAGCTGCCCGAGTTGCTGGGATTACAGACTTGTGCCATCACACACAGCTGCATGGAGTGATTTTTAACTTAACATTTTTCTTTGTACTTTTCTATAATTTTCAAAATCTTATTTTCCACAATGATAGAAACAAACTCTGGTAAGTACAAAAACTAAAATATTTAATTCAATGGTGAACATATGGCTATACTTTTTTAAAAAAAAATTTTTTCAGTTGCAAAAGTACACAATATCTTTATATTGTTTGTTTATTTTTATGTGGTGCTGAGTATCTAACCCAAAGCCTCACACATGCAAGGCAAGTGCTCTACCCCTGAGCCAAAACCTCAGCCCTGGCTATACTTTGTTCTGGGGAAGGAACTTCTCAGAGATTCAGTTCTCTTAGAAGAAAACCAAAGTATAGAGTATGTAATAACAACAATAATGAACACATATAATAATCATCATTCTTATTCTAAAATTCTAAATACTAGGATTCATTTAGGGATCAAAGTCAACATGCACAACCTGAAATGATGCCATTTTCTTTTTGAAAAGCAGCTTTTAAGTGTATCCTTAATCTTTCAGAGTAATATGAAAATGGAATGTTGAATAACTACTTTATCATTTGATCAGAATACAGAACCATCAGCACCGGACACTGTCAACCATAATACTAGTGTTTAGCAAAATTCAAGTTAATAATGAAGGAAAAATAAAATCTATCCAATTGAGCTAATTTTTTGGAGATTGATCTAAATACAGTCCATCCTACTACAGCCACGTGTAACCAGCTACTACCAACAATGATAAAACGATCTGGAGGATCTCACTTCATTCCAGTGGCCTGGCCTCCCATGTTTCTGGGAGCTGACTTACTTTGTCGGATGCATACACGGCATCAAATAGCCCCAGAAGGGTGACCACGATTCCCACAGCTGGGCCATTTATCACTGCAACCAGAGGCTTAGGAAAATCTATAAAAGCATCTACAAACTCCCTATGAAAAAAGAAACAGAAAAGCATTAAATGTTCCAAGCGGGCAAGGAACTTTGAATCTGAGAATAAATTTGAGACCCTGGCTCAAAATAAAATATACACACCAGCCAGCAGTGCTCCCTGCCTGGCCACTTCCTGGTCTTCCTCCCAGAATCACTAAGGACACCCCACTGTATGGCTCCTGATGGAAGCTCAGCAGCGAATCCTACAGGCCAAACCTGGTTCAGATCCTGTACCATGGGCAGTGAGTTCAGAGATTACGACAGGTGACTGAGCACACGCTGTGCTATCCGGCGTGGTGGGACTCAGACTCAGTGGGACAGAGAGGACAGGAAGAGCAAAGCTCTCATAGAGGTCTTCTGTGTCTTTCAAGACTACTTCAGTCTCCTGTCACCAGCACTCTTGGAAATCATCCCCTGCCCTGAGGAGAATGTGCTAAGTTCCCCTGCCTCAATACAAGAGAATTTTATTTCCAATTCTAGTTCACCTCCTGCCTTCTAGTCAATCTCATGTAGAGTGGCCGGGTGAACAGGGGACAGAAGTCAAGGTGATAGAATGACAGAATGAATGTCCACCCGCTATCAGAGACTTGGAGAAATAAGCTGTTCAAAGTAACAGTTAACTGCATCAGCAGAGAAGTAGGCATTTCACTTTTGCTCAAGTAAATACCACTTTGATATATAAAAATGAACCCCAGGAGGCTGGGCTGTAGCTCAGTGGTTGAACGTGTGCCTTGTGAGGCACTGGGTTCAATCCTCAGCATCACATAAAAATAAATTAAATAAAGATATAAATATAAATGAACCCCACAATCAGACAAATGTCACTCTTACCTCAGTAAAATGCTAGCATTTTTAGCTGTCTCCTCTATTGAATTGGGGGAAACATCTGTGAAGTTAGTCAGATCATTCCCACTACTGTAATAATCACCATTTCCTGTAAACAAGAAAACCGACCACCATTCATTTATGTATGCATTCGCTCTGTAACACCCGAGAATCTATCATGTGCCAGGCTCTAGGTGCTAGTCACTAAAAATACACTGGTGAACCAGCTATGGTTCTTGTCCTAAGTTATAGACCAGCAAATTAGCTGGACATTGGTTTTAAAACACAATAATAAGTTAGGCACAGAGGTGCAGGCCTGTAATCCCAGCAGCTTGGGAGGCTGAGGTAGGAGGATCTCAAGTTCGAGGTCAGTTTGGTCAAGTCAGTGAGATCCTGTCTTGAAATAAAAAATGACAAGGACTAGGGTTGTAGCTCAGTGGTAAAGGGCCCCTGGGTTCAATTCCCAATAATGGCAAAACCAAAACCACTCCCCACAAATGTAGAGAAGGTAACTAAGAGACGAAAGAGAAGTGTCTGATGATACGAATAAGGATCATGAGTTTGGTCTAGTCAGGGAGTTAATGGAGGGACTTTCCTAAGAAAAGGGAAAACTGAATTGAGATCTGGAGGAGTGGCAAGGCTAGAGAGGGAGAGAATAGGAAATAAATTCACACAGAGGGATCTAATGTGCTGAGGGTCTACACAGGGGTGTACCCCATGCGTATGATGGGCTGGAAAAAATAACCAAGGCTGATGTAGAAATAGCCAGGGGAAGAAGACAAAGAATGAAGATGAGTAGGACAAGACTGTTGGGCTTTCTAAATCCTACTAAGAAGTCCTGTCTTTATTTTAAGATATATTGAAGATGTGTGTGTGCCTGAGTGTGTATTTTTTTTTTTTTTTTGGACAGGGGATTGAATCCAGGGGCTTCACCACTGAGTCACATGCCCAGCCCTTTTAATTTCTTATTTTGAGACAGGGTTTAAGTTGCTAAGTCTGGCCTTGAACTTGTGATCCTCCTGCCTCAGCTTCCCAAGTTACTGGGATTACAAGTGTACATTACCACACTAGTATTAGTATAATCTAATAAAATAAAATGATCAGTTCTTAAATGTTCAGTTTAATGAGTTCCGATCACTGTATTTACCTGCATGATCACCATCCAAAACAAGACACAGTGATCCTCACTCCTTATCCTCCAAGATGTTCCACAGATGCCTCAAACCTTGCAACAGAACCAAACTAGTATATAATATTTTGTTCCCCAGTCAGCCCTCCATATCTGTGGGTTTCACATCTGTGGATTCACCAACAGAAAATTTATGCCTAGGTACTGAACACGTACCAACTCTTTTTCCTTAATATAGTATGACAATTATGTCAGCACTGACATTTTATTAGGCACTATAAATAATCTAGTGATAATTTAAAGTTTACAGGCAGATGTGTATACGTTCTATGCATATAATGTGCCATTTTATATAAGGAACTTCATCTGCAGATTTTGGTATTACTTGGAGTATACTATCATTCCGGAATGTTCCCAGGGGTTTTTCTGTAGTTACATTATCCCACCTGCCTCAAGGCAGTCACTTTAGGACATCAACCACTTTAGACTAGAACTTTTGTCTATTGCAAACCTTTATATAAAGTGAAAGATACAATATGTACTCTTGTAATTGGCTTATTTTGTTGAAATATGCTTTAAAGACTCATCCATGTTCTTGTGCAGTTATGTGTTACTTTTTATTGCCGAGTAGCATTCCATTGCATGAATAGTCAACAATTTATTTATCCAGTTGGTTTAAGACATCTTTTGCTTTGGCTACTGTGAATCAGGCCATCATGATGGTTCCTGTTCAAGCCATGATGGGATACATGCTTATCCTTGAATTATTAAGGAGTGGGTAGCCCATGTCTATTATATGATTATATATTTATAAATTAAAGCATTGCAATACTGGAAAACATCTTCACACTTTTTCACTTAATTTCCTATTTAGTGGAAGACTCTCCAAAATAGAAATTTAATTAAGAAAATGTCTTACCTGTAAAAACAGTTATGGCTGAGTTATCCGTGCTTGCAGCTTTAAGTGCATGAATAATTTCTTTATACATCTATGTGAAGGGGAAGATGAGGAAAAGAACACTGAAAATAAGAACTCTCAGTCAATGGACTCACTCTGTCAATGTACAAGTCTGCTCTCACCAAACCTTTATATTGATTATATTTTAACAGCCAAAAAATGGACCAATATGCGGGGCATGATGCCTCACTCCTGTAATCCCAGTGGCTCAGGAGGCTGAGGCAGGAGGATCATGAGTTCAAAGCCGGCCTCAGCAACAGCGAGGTGCTAAGCAACTCAGTGAGACCCTCTTGAATTAAAGAATATAAAAAAGGGCTGGGGATGTGGCTTAGTGATTGAGTGCCCTGAATTCAATCCTTGGTACCTGCTCCCCCACTCCAAAAAAAGTGTAGACCATGATACCTAAAAGGATTTTCATTTGTTTTTTAATTATTTGATGCATATAATATACCAGGCACTTTGGTAGATGCAGAGGAGCTAAAACCACTTTGTTTTTAAAGTGAGCAAAAAGGATGCAGACCTTAAGCTTTTAGAATTAATACAGGAGATTACTATGCTCAAATGGAGCCACGGGTCTAAAGCATGAAGCAGTGTGAAGCTCATGGGAGGTGCTGAGGTTTGTTGAGGATGGCTGACGTAGGAGATGTTCAGAGAAAACTTTCCACAAAACAATATCCTGCTGTGACCTCAAGAAAGAATAGGTGTCCTAGACAGTCTGGGAAGTGGTAAAGAATGCCACAGGCTAAGATTTCCAAGACACTGTAATAGTATTCAAGGACAATGCCCTCTAAATTTTAAATCAGCAACACATCTAAAAATCTTGGACATGTTGCTATTGCTATTAATGCATTTAAAATAGGTACATCGGGCTGGGGTTGTGGCTCAGTGGCAGAGCACTTGCCTAGCATTTGTGAGGCACTGGGTTTGATCCTCAGCATCACATGCAAATAAAAAAAAATAAAGGTACATCAACAACTAAAAAATATTAACAAAAATAAAGTAGGTGCAGTCTCTATCGTAGATGACATTTCCATGTGGGAAAGAATGATGAAGAGGGCTGATATTTACGGATATAATAACACTGAAAAAGTTAAGGTATAGACTTTACATAATGCATGAACAAAGATGTAGTCATTTCCACTGAGGGAGGGAACAGAAAATAATTCCTTTACTATAGTAATGACACAGCATGGAAAGGTCAGTGGCAAAAGCCAGATTTAGAATAAGTATATATAGATTTTCTTGCTGATTAGCTATGTGAACTTAAGTGTCTTCTTGTCTATTTTATTGTTAAATAACAGTAATAGGCTTCTTTTAAAAAATACAGCTCTGTGCAGAAAGTGCTACCTATTATTAGGCACCTGGGAAGACTAGCTATTAGTGTCAGGGTTACATAGAAACGAGTTAGGGTAAACGGAAATACAATTTTGAAAATTAAATGCCTTATCAACTATATGACCATCATGAAATGCTTACTTAAGAATATTTCAGATCAGTATGTTCTCTGTTCCACACTGCAGAAACACAATCGTTATAATCCCATTGAGCACTGGATAAATTCCCAGTAATTTATTTCATGTGGGAAAGTGCTGAAGTCCTTATTTTGTTATCTTTCTAGTTCAGGAACAAATTCAAAGTTGTCCTGGTAGAGCACAGTGGGGTTATGGTTTACTGAAGACAAAGTCCTTTGTCCTTTTCTCCTCTATTCATATAAAATAAAACTCAGTAAGAGCAGAAAAGTCCAACTGACAGTCGGACACTTTTGGGGGTCAGTTTATACTAATCTTAGAGTGCCTCTCTGCATATTCTCTTGTATCAACACATATTTCATTCATATTAACTTAACTGATTTGTGCTTCTATTCATAGGAAAATCTCAGTGCCCTTTGGATACATTGCTCTTACTCAAAACTCACAAATCCTAAACAAAACATGGCCAACCTGAAGAAAACAGTGGCCACTATTAATGATCTTGAACAAACCAAACCAGAGACATTTTTAAAATAGAAATAATGTTGAAGCTCAACAGTTTCTTTTTCTTTTTTTCTTTTTTTTTTTTTTTTTTTTTTTTTGAGTGAAACAAAGAAAAGAAGTGGAAAAGAAAAACAGGACACATTCACAAGGTGGGGAACATTACCGAAGTGGTTATGGCGTTTTTTTTGGAGGGCCGGTTAAACATGATCTTTGTGATGCCATCTTGAGAGGTCACTATGATGTTTTCAGATCCCGGTTGTTTCTCGTTGGCTGCTGCAGGCTTCACTTGGCTAGAAGACTCAGACGAAGGACTCAAACTGGACACCAGATCCACATAGTTCTGCCTAGCAGTTTCCTGAAGAGTAGATGACAAAGAGGTTCAGCTGACAGTCAATGAATAAGCACTTTGAGAAACATAATATGCTAATGATTAGCAGGCTGCAATAAATAAAAGAGTTCAAAGGCTCTGTTGATAATGGCTTGGTGAGAAGCTCCAAGCTTCTTTAGATGTCTGGCAAAGAAAATAAAAAGCAACTGGGTGTAGTGGCACATGTCTGTAACCTCAGTGGCTTGGGAGGCTGAGGCAGGAGGATCATAAGTTCAAGGCCAGCCTCAGCAACTTATCGAGGTCCTAAGCAATTTGTGAGACCCTGGTCTCAAAAAACAAAAACAAAAAACAAAACAAAACCCTCACAGAGTATAATAAGTAAATTCACCTTGGGCAGGCTGCCAAGGGCATTCCATGCATCCCATTTGGCTTTATTGATGAAGTCCAACATGCTTGGTTTGGGTGTGTTACAAGGTCCTTCAGTGGCCTATGAAGAGGAGAGGGGTGATTAATGGCCAAATGTCCATGAAAATTGGAGCCCTAAATATTTAAGATCCATAAAATCCACAGATAGCATGAATGTTTCCCCCCATATAAATATAAAATATATATTTTATATAGAATCACCTGAACTCTCCTCTCACCCTCTTTTTTTTTTAATATTGTTGTTGAAAACACACACAAAAAAAGATTGGAGAGAGAAAAGGTGCTATTGGATTAGTCCCTAAAATAAGTTATAACTACCTGCATATGGAAATAATGTAAGAGAAAGGCTCTGGGAAAGTGCTATCTGAAAAATTCTAATAGTTCCTTATTTTTACACTGATGATCATATATTTCACAAAAACATTCAAGCCAACCATTTTCAAAAGAACTAGCCAACAAACATTTGGAAACCCACAGTACATTCTGAAAGCCCATCTATAGGAGCAAAAACCACACTGCTTGGGTGGCAGATTTCTGGTAACTGGACAACAGAATTGTAGCTGGTGGAGGGAGGGGTGTGGGCTGTCAGAACCACTAGCTCTCAGGAAACTTCACTGAAGGACATGTCAGTGAAAAGCAAAGAGCAATTATAGTTTATTTACTTGAGGTTAGGTGGAGTGGGTGTCTTGAGATAAATAAAACATCCTGTTCAGCTACTTCTTAGAATGGCAATTTAAAACTCCATGTAAAAATTTCTAAATTTTGTAATACAGTAAAAGAGGAAAGGGAGTCAAGGATGATGACTGAGTCATCCTGCAAGTGAGCCATCTGAAAAGTTGGAGGGAACAGAATCCATAAGTTAAGGGTTTGACCTTATTGGCTGACCACTCTCACTTCTGACACCAGTTTTTGAGGTATGGGCGGAGCGGGTATTCCCAAGACTACCCTCAGGTTCAATAATTCACTAGAAACAGTCACAGAACCCACTGCAAGCTGTTATACTCACGGTTACAGTTTTTTACAGAAAAGGATACAGATTAAAATCAGTCAAGGGAAAAAGCACACAGGACAGAGTTCATAGCAGAAGCAAATGTGGCAATTCTGTTGTCCTCTCCCCAGGGAGTCAGGACAGTGTAACTCAGAATCTATGTGTGACAATATTCACAGAGTCTTGCCAACCAGAGAAGCTCATTTCAGCTTTATGTCCAGAGTTTTTACCAGGTCTGTATCATGCAAGCCTTATCAGAGAAACCGAAGCCCCTCCCTGTATTGTTTATACCTGGTGAGGCCCTACCACAATGCGAGACTGTCCAGGCACACAAAGGCACGCCAATCAAGAATACATAGTTCAAGGGTTTAGAGATTATCTCCCCAAATCAGAGGGGGCAAAAACCTTGTGTGGCAAAGTTCATGCCAATCATCTAACAGAAAAAAAAACATAGGAGACCAGAGTGGCAGACGTGCCAGGGAAGTCTTTGGCATTATACCTTCAAAGCTTTGGTTTTTTCAATTTGCTATACAAAATTTCAAACACAAACCAAAGTATAATATTAAAATGAGTCCCTAATACTCCACTGCTCAAATTGAACAATTTTCAAATTTTTCCTTGCTTCATCTATTTGCTTTCTTTTTGGCTATTTTTAATGGATCCCAAACATCAGGCTACCTCACCCCTCCACATTGAGTATACATTTTTTAAAAACAGTTACATTTTCTTAGATAACTATGACATCATTAACAATAAATCCTATATAGTTTCTAAAACTCGGTCCATATTCAAATCTCCCCAGCTGTCTCAAAATAACTTTTCAGTTGATTTATTCTAATCAGGAGTCAAATAAGGTCTACACATTTGAATGTTATATTTTTAAAATCTCTTATGCTTTGGAGTGACCCTGAGGTGTTACGTTATGCCCTACTAGTATTTCAAGTCCCAAAACACACACAAACAGCCCTGCTATACTCTTCAGACAAAAGGCATCCATACACTCAAAATATTGAATTGCATTTTAGTAGACCTACAGCAAATGTATTTAAGGAGTCATTTGCTCAAAATGTCTCTAAATGTCAGACTTTAGGCATTTACCTGCTTATACAGGGCATAGAGTTTTAGCTTCACTTCATTTCCTGGATCCTTCGTCAAGAGTTTCAATTGATTCCTTGCATTTTCAAAGTCCTTCTCACTGGCTCTCATTGCTGTTCTGCTCATGTGCAGCTGAACTACTGGGAAGCGAAGGACCTGCAGAAGACTACAAACAGCCTGATTCTATTTACTTCCAGTCATATTTCTGCAGCCTTATATCTTACTGTTCTCACCACATACACATGCCAAAATGCTGTGTAAATATTTTCTTTATACTTGTCCCAGGAAGAGAAATCAGCATAGAAGCTAATTGTGGTAATTTTAAGATGACGGAGTTTTTTTTGGGGGGAGGGGGCGGTGATGCTGGGTGTTGTACTCAGGGGCACTCGACCACTGAGCCACATCCCCAGCCCATAATTTTAAAATAATGGAAAAAAAATCTGCAATTCAGCGAGGCATTTGTATGCAATTCAAAACCACCAGCAGGAAAGTTTGTCCATGTAAATTTTGTTACAGGCAAGAAATAAATGAAATGCACTCAAGACAGAAGCCGGCAGAACAAGGGATTAGGATGCACAGAACTTAGTGGTGAGTCCTAAGGTCCTGAAACAGCCTCTGCACTCACTGATTAGTCATATGTAACTATTATCAGGTCAATTCTAGGCGACAAAACACTTGTCCCAACATACACACAGTGAAAGGAGGAAGACAAGAAATGTCCAAAAGGACAGATGAACAGTTGGCATTCCACACACCTCTTCTCAGGAAGGTAGGAAGGAATCTACCTGTGCAGGAAAGTAGTCAGTGAAGCAGGCTCAGCAAGTGTACTCCATCCTCACAGGATACAAGACAGACAGGCGCAGAGCAGAAACAGCAAGCAAGGCAGGGGGTTAAGTTTTTAAGCACCCAAGTGAGATGGTGAACTTCAAAGCACAGTACTGAGGCCATAAGCAAAAAATTGGACGTTCACAATGATGACCCTGAATAATAAAGTTAAGGGCATTAAAAATAATTAAAACAATAGATACAAATAAAGCCCAAACCTAGCAATCATCATCACCTTCTTTGCATTTATGTTACTTGCAAATGGTACAATGACCTCAAGGTTTAAATCCTGGGATATCAGGAATTCTGATAAAATCCGCTTACAATAATTCTCCCCACCCCCCACAAAAAAGTGGTGGTGGGGGGCTCAATTTACCTGAATTTGGCACGGGGAAAATTTCAAGTAGAAAATAAAGAACAATTTAAAATGTCTTCAATGGGCTTAAATATGCAACTTCCCATCAAATGTGGTGTCAACTTAGCTATTTTAAAATGCAGCCTGGGTCTTAAAAACATATTGCAAAATTACGACCATTTAAGATAATAAAATCGCTCATAATTCCACCACTTCAAAGCAATCACCAAGTTCCAGGTTTTGTTTCGTACACAGTTGTTTTTGGGTGGTTTACAATCAGGACATGTAACATTACTTGTTTGACTTAACATTATAACTCCTGTGTTCTCCAAAAGAAGCAGTTTCCAGCCCACTTTGGTGACAAGGGCTTTTCTACAGCGCTCAGCAAACAAGCAAACCGTGTTTAATCGCTCTACTCAGTTTATCAAAAGACACTGTGCACCCTACAAGTTCCCAGGGTGAGCTGGCAGGCCCGGGTACCCGGGTAAGTACCCGGGCAGCGGGGGCGGCTCTCCCACCGGGAACCAGTTTCGGATGGGCGCGTGCGCGAGGCGCGGAAGCAGGCGGAGGCCTGGGGGACCCTCCAAAGAGAGGTCCTCCGAAGCCCCCGGCCTCCAGAGGATGCATCCGGACTCTCCTGGGCCCAGCGGAGGAGGAAGGCACGCTGTGAAGGTCACCCTCTCGCTGGAAAACCTCGAAGGCAACACCCTGCAGCCGCCCAGACCAGATAACTGCGCGGCTCCCGCGAGACTGGCGGGAGGCAACCCCGCAAGGGCAGCGGTGTCCGGCAGGCGACTTTGGGCCGGGCGGCCGAGGCGTCAACCTTACCTCGGACTCCAGCGACGGGTCAGCCTCCCTGCCATGGTAGCTATCGCGAGCCCCGGCGAGGACCGAACGGGACGGGACAGGGGCGGAGTCAGGATGTAGCACGCGACGTGGGCGGGGCCGGGGCTGGGGGCGTGGCCCGGGTTTGGGGCGAGGCCGAGGCGCGGGAAAGCTGCCCGGAAAGGAGGGACCGCGGGGAGCACGGGTAGGACTGGCTGGCCTGTGCAGCTGGAGGATCCCTGGCGCGTGACAGAGGCGCCCCTGGGCACTGGGCGACGGTGCTCAGGCCGGGGAGGCGTGAATGGGTGCAGCGCGCGCTGTCCCCGGGCGCCCTAGCGCTCAGGAGAAGAGGACGTTGTCTGCAGAACACCCGACTCTGCGAACGCTGCGACCCCCAGGGGACCGGGCGCCCTGCTAGGGTTCAGTCCGAGTGTCCTGCGGAGACTGGCAAGGAGGGGCCACTTCCCCCTGTGGTCCAGCCATGAGCTCTGATGGGCAGTCCCAGCCTTAGATATAGGAAGTGGGGGGTCACAGTTGAGGGGTTAAAAATAACCACGTTATTCACCCCCAGGCAGGCGAGATTTACAGACCTGGAATGTTGCCTGAGGATCAGGCATGGCCTCCGAAATATTTTAAATCAACATTTTCATGTCAAATCTGTGCCTATTTTTGAGTTCTGCCGAAGCTCTTACAAAGTATTTTCTTTGGGGGAAAATTTAAAAAAAAAATCACGAATGCCCTTTAAATCTAGTGCTCAAGCTATGGGATCCAAGTAAGACTGGTGTTTGATTGTTTTTAAGATTTTTGTAGCTGACACATGTGAACTACCAGCTGATTGCGATTTTTTTTCAACAATCCTGCAAGTAAAATGATACAGCTTTGTTGTGCTGATGTGGATATTGAGATCCAGAAGAATTAACTAGTTGAGGACTTGCCCAAAGACCTGAGGGTTGCAAGTGAGCAGAGTGCTATCTTTAACTTATGATTCCAGGTCGATGGCCCTATAGTTTCATCAGGCAGATGTGAGTAATAGTGTAAGTGGGGACAAGATTGGAAGCCAGGTAGAACAATCTGGGCTTATTCTAAACTTTCTTTCGGATTCGATAAAGTGTAGCTTGGTTGTTTGAGCTGAGTCTCTCAAAGATTCTGACTTAACACCAGTCTGAAGTGACCCTGGTAGGTCAGGAAAATGCTCTCAGAAATTGCAGATACTGGGAGAGCTGCATCTCTTGTGGAAACATTGTAAAAGTCTCTTGCTGATAAGCATTTTGGAGTTAAAACTTTGCACTGTCTTAACGAACTCTTCTCAGGCCTGTTTTTACCATGTTTTCATATAGAAATGTGGTTTTGTAGAAAGTTTGCTTTTTGCCAAATGATAACTTAAAAAATTGAGTTCATCAAAGATTTATAAGATGGTAAAGAAAATTTTGAAAGATCTGTTTATATATTCAATGTAAAAAAGGACATTAGAATAGATTGCAGAATTAGATACAGACCTGATTAATAGCCACAGATCAATAAAACCATAACCTGTGGAGCAGTTTTTTCTTGACACATCATTTGCACCTATGCCCACTGTCATTTACTAAAGCTTCATTTTATCTCAGTATTTGAGGGGCAGGAGATGGTTGAGGTGACAAATATTCCTGGCAGAGGGTCACATTGGAACCACCTTTGGTCTACCAAACTCTTAACCTGGAGTCCATGCTAAGCCATATTAACATGCTGCCATGGCTGGGGTTGGTAGGGAGCAGTTCTCAGTGTAAAGGAGCCATTTTGAGTTGGGTAGTGCTCCATGCTAAGGAGCTTGGATTCTGCGTTGAGAGCACTGGAGAGCCACTGAAGATACAACTTGCATACCTGGCTACACAGTGTTCAGTACAATCATAGGCTCCCAGTACATTCTCAGAGTATAATGCTTCTGGATATGAATAAGAACTATAGGGGCTGAGGTTGTGGCTCTGTGGCAGAGTGCTTACCTAGCATGAATTAGGCACCGGGTTCAATCCTTAGCAACACATAAAAATAAAATAAAGATATATATAGATATATATAGATATATATGAACTACAGTGGCTCAGTCAAGACCTCATCCAAAACTCTAATCTCCATTCTATGTTAGGTTCTCCTGGCTTTTGTGAAGATCTTGGAGAAGGGAATGTATAGTTTGTTGGATCCTACCTTCTATTGTCTATCATTTACTCCGTTTGTGATATTTTATTATAGCAACATAAAATGGACTAAGACACACACTCATGATTCTCTGATCTCCCCCCATGACTGAAAATGTCATCATGGGTCCCCTTTGCCTTTTGAACAAAGATAAACTTTTTAGCCTGGCGTATAAGGCCCCCAAGATTAGACCCTTGCCTACCTGCCTAGTCATCTCTCTTCAACCCCACGTGTGCACTTTCTATTTCAGATGAATCTGGGTAGCTCAGTTTCTGAGTCTCCACGTTGCCGTATTTTCTCACTGTGTACTCTAGCTGAACCAGGAAGTCTCTGAACCACCCTCTGGCTACATTCTTTCCCTCTGAGATCCTACAGTCTTGCCAGGCTTGTCTTTCTCCAAGCACCTGTGTCACTATTTTATTTCTGATTAGCAATTTGTCTCACTCCTCATCCCAAGGCACACCCTGAGAGGACTTCTACCCTATGTTAAGCTCCATTTCTTGTCTCTTGACAACACACTTGACATTGAAAGTTTCTGCCTAGCTTATGTCTCCACATGTGATGATAGCTTCTGGGCCAAGTGCTATGTTTCTATTAAGCTGTCAGAAAATGTTAACATGAGTGTTCTGGTATTTTGAAGTTTTTCTTTTTCAGTGAGTAGTAGCTGGAAGCAAAGAATTTGACAGGTCCTGTGTTGAATTGAATAAGGAAAAGTGGGGTGCCAAGAAAAGTGTGATGTCTAATGCTATAAACTGCAGGAGGGGAGAATCTATTATAGCTTCTTCTATGAGTCATTAAATATTATCAGTACCTATTCTTTGTTCTGCATCATAATTATTTCCTGGTTTAGTTTGATGACATTGCTGTTATGCTTTCTTTACAAAACAGTCTTTTTTTTCTAAATAATTTTGATATCATCTTCCCACACAAATGTATATGTTTATGTCAGAGATTTAAAAAATAATAAGCTAGAATTTTACTTATGAGTGTTCTTTCTTGTTTCCAATTATTATAATTCAGAAAAGAAAGATATTTCAGAAGTAAACATTTGGCTCATTTTTATCAATTCTGCCTGATTCACTTATACCTGTATAATTTGTTCATTCACCTAAGGCTCTTTTTGAGTATTGCAAAATCATTAACCCAACCTGGTACTCAAAGATTACTTTTCAATTACTTTTCTCTAAGAAGGAAATATTCCTCAGGTGTTCCCCTCTGAGAAAGATTGGAACTGATAGATATTTCTGGGAAAGAAATGGCTATTTTTTCTAGTCATTCCACTTTTTTCCTGTTTACACCAAAGTTTAATTTATAGTCTGTTCAAATGCATAGATCAGCTAAAATAAAATCAGCCAAGGAGGGCCACAAAGAGAATCATAAGATATGTATTAATTCCAGTATTATCCAATTTTTCATTCATTCAGGGACTGAGAAAGATGATAAAGAATGGCATCCGTGGTTGGTGGGAGCAGGTGACATCCTGGTTGACTAAGCAAAGGTGATGTAGCCTCCTCCCTGGTGTACTCGAAAGAAGAAAATTCTATTCAAATGTTGCCAGCTCAAGACTAAAATTTATTAAGAAGACACATTCATTCCTCATTATTCCCAAATTCTTTATTTACAAACTTGCCTACTTGCTAAAATATATTTATAATCTCAAAATCAATACAGGGTTTTCATGGTCATTCACAAACATGTCCAGAATGGTGGAAAATTTGACTTAGTGCAAGTACATGTTCACAGCTAAGGTCCTACAAGGTAATATACTGATTTCTTGTTTCAACTGCCAAGCTCTAAACAAATGTCTAACAAGCTCTAAACAAATTGTGGACTATTTGGTGCCACTTTTTTTTTTTTAAATTTATGTGCTTTCTGTCAGTGATTTTGATATGTAAGGTGGTCACCAATCTGGGCATGGTGGTGCACATTTGTAATCCCAGTTACTTAGGAGGCTGAGGCAGGAGCATCTCAAGTTCAAGGCCAGCCTAGGCAATTTAGTGAGACCCTGTCTCAAAATAAAAAATAAATAAATAAAAAATATTGAGGATGTAGCTTAGTGATAGAGCTCCCTTCATTTGATCTCCAGTACTAAAAAAAAAAAAAAAAAGGTAGGGTCCCCAAGCACAAAGCCAAAGTGCTGTGTATCTAGTGTTCCTACCATGAGAAGGCTGTGATGTGCCTTAGACATGATTTATAGTGCTGTTGGTGAGTTCACTGTTGACAAATCAATAGCATATCTTAATTAAGTTGACTTGAAATAGAAAACATACAGTATCACTATTATGATAAGGCAAGATCACATATCGATTGGTGGATTAAAATGTTGTAACTGAAGACCCAAAGGAATCTAACCCTGTATTCCTACTAGGATTATTGGTTCAGTACAGTTTGTCCCTTGATATCCATGGGGAATAGGTTCCAAGACCCCTCACTAATACCATGGGTGCTCAAGCCCCTTATATAAAATGGCATAGTGTTTGCATATAACCCAAGAACATCCTCCTTTGTACTTTAAATCATCTCTAGCTTGCTTATGATACCTAAGTTAATATCTATGCTATGTAAATAGTGATACTGTATGTTTTTTATTTGTATTGTTTTCCCTTGTCATATGGCTATTTATTTATTTATCTTAGAGTTTTTTGATCTCACTTGGTTGCGTTTGCAGACGTACAACCCATGGATGTTCAGGGCTGACTGTGTACACGCCATGGGTGCGCAGGGTTCCCTGAATAATGACACAAAACTATATATGAAGGTGACTTAGCTTGGGTTCTCCCAGAAGTAGAAAAAAATAAGAAAGGAATTTATTTGGAAAATGATCCCATATTCATGTGAGAGTGGGGAAGGAAGGAAAGTCAAGGAAAGCAGGAAATAAAGGGTGAATTATCAAGTCTGTTACTTCTGTGGACATCTGAAATTCAGTCCTGCTGGGAACCCTGGGGCCACTGAAGACCAGGTGCTTCAGAGTTAT